GTCCTGCCAAGGCAGGAGGGATGAGCTTGATGAACCCCCCCAGGCTTTGGGCTCCCAAACTCTCGGGGTGCTGCCTTGCTGCCATGAGATTGCCGAAAATCCATAGAAATCCGGTAGCTCCCCCCTCCAGCGTCCTTTTATCGTTAAAGCCAAGCTCTTCCCATAATTGTTTGGAGATTACGGTTGATGTCAACAGCCGGATAATCTGTGGTCGGTATCGCTGACCCCGTTAACTGGCACTGGGGGCATTTGGGGCAGGGGCAAGGGAAGGACCCCCACGGCTGTTTGCAGCAGAGCAAAGCCCAGCAGTGGTGTTGCAAGAAAAATATACATCTATTATTTCCTTTGGGTGAAAAAAAAAAAAGACAAAAAGCCCCACGTCTGCAGCGGGCTTGGCCCTAAGCGGCTCCATCGATCCCTGGCCAGGGTCCGGACGCTGGCATCCTCTCCCAGCATGGGACAGAAGCGTAAGATATATACACGTAGTTACGTGGGGGTAAGTATGTGTAAACCTCGATGTATATACGCACCTTTTTTTTGCCATGTGTGTGTATATCAGCCATTCACACGTGTTTGTATCATCGGACAAAGGTGACCAAGGGCTGTTGCGCAGAGGACGAGCAGCCCCCCCGCACAGACACAGGCCCAGGTGTGCAGGGGGGCTCTTGGGACAGGGGTTGGGCAATTTTTTTTTGTGGAAACCTCATTTTGCTGTTCTTTTAAGTGCGGTGCTGTTGTCACCATAACTACCTGAAGTTCTTTTAATTGGTTGTTTAGCGAAGGGGAGGGCTGGGGGGCGTTTTCCTCACTTCATGTGCTTTGCTGTTGCATCAATTCCTTTAATCCGAGGGCTTTTGGCCCCTTCTTTGAGTCACACTTTATTATTTTTTAATGTCGTTGCACTTTTCCCTTTGTGCTGACCCTGCCCCTTCACCCACCACATGTTCAGTCTCCCACTGCTCACTTTTTGCATTTACCTTTTTTTAGTCTTTCCCCTTTTTTTAACCAAACCCTCCTCAGCTGCATATTCCCCCCCTTTCCTCCTTACTTCCCGCAGCTCTGCCCGCACCAGGGAAGAGGAAGGAAACACAAAATCTGGGGAAGTCAGGGGGTGGCTGGCTCGGGCAGGGATGCTGACAGAGGATGCAGACAGGGATGGAAGCAGGACCAAGGGCTTCCCTGGTGTGCAGCTGTGTCCCACCACATGCTCCCTCCTCC